GGAGCCCCACCTGCGCCCGCACGTTTCTGCACGCGCCCATTCCTGCACACGCGTGTGCATGCGCCTCCAACAGACGTCCACGTGCGCGCGCAGCCCTGCACACGTGCCTGCGCTCGCCCTCTGCGTGCACACCCGTGCGCGCACCCATGAGCATCCAGCCGTCCCCGGGCAAGCGCCGCCTTGCACACGTTTCCGCACGCACGTGTGCACGCCCCGCCAACACACAACCCTGCGCCCGTGCACCCTTGCGCACACCTCTGCACGCACACGCACACCCCCAGGCAGGCACGCTCCAGCACGCGCCTGCACAGCCGTGCACACGTTTCTGCACACCCACGTGTGCACCCACACCCAACACACAGCCCGGGGCGGGCAGACCCTTGCACACACGTGTGCACACACACCCAAGCCTGGCCATGCACATCCACGCACACATCGCTGCACACCCGTGTGCGTGCACATCCAAGCAGCCTTTGCACGCACCGCCCTGCGCCCACCCCCAAACACCCCTGCGCTTGCACAGCCTTGCACACCTCCCTGCACACACGTGTGCACGCACAGCCAACAAACGTCCCGGTGAAGGCACGCCCATGCACACCTCGGCACACACCCGTGCACGCACAGCCAACCATCCTTTGCACACACACACACACCCAGTAAACACCTCTGTGCTTGCACAGCCCTGCACAACTCTCTGCACACACGTGTGCGCGCACACCCAAGCCTGCACATACACATCCCTGCACACACGTGTGCATGCACATCCAACCATCCTTTGCACACACACACACACCCAGTAAACACCTCTGTGCTTGCACAGCCCTGCACACACATCCGCACGCACATCCAAGTCCATGCATGCAGCCCCTGCACACATTTTTGCACACACGTGTGCACGCACGACCAACAAACACCCCTCTGCAGGCACATCCCTGCACACACGTGTGCATGCACATCCAACCATCCTTTGCACACACACACACACCCAGTAAACACCTCTGTGCTTGCACAGCCCTGCACACACATCCGCACGCACATCCAAGTCCATGCATGCAGCCCCTGCACACATTTTTGCACACACGTGTGCACGCACGACCAACAAACACCCCTCTGCAGGCACATCCCTGCACACACGTGTGCAAGCACATCCAAACCTGCGCATGTGCATCTGCACACACATTTCTGCACACACATGTGCATGCACTGCCAGCAAACACCCCTGTGCATGCACATCCTTGCACACCTGTGCGCATGCACACCCAAGCCTGTGCATGCACATCCCTGCACACAGCCCTGCACACACGTGTGCACGCACACCCAAGCCTGGGCTTGCATATCCACGCACACCCGTGTGCGTGCACATCCCAACATCCTGTGCACACACAGCCAGCAAACACCCCTGTGCTTGCACATCCCTGCGCACACAGGTGCATGCACACCCAAGCCCGCGTGTGTGCATCTGTGCACACATTTCTGCACACACGTGTGCGCACACAGCCAACAAACAGCCCTGTGCATGCACATCCTTGCACACCCGTGCGCATGCACACCCAAGCCTGTGCATGCACATCCCTGCACACACGTGTGCAAGCACATCCAAACCTGTGCATGTGCCTCTGCACACACATTTCTGCACACACGTGTGCACACACCGCCGGCAAACACCCCTGTGCATGCACCTCCCTGCACACACTTGTGCACGCACCACCGGGAAACACCCCTGTGCATGCACATCCCTGTACACAGCCCTGCACACCCGTGTGCACACACACCCAATCCTGGGCAGGCACCTCCCTGCACACACGTGTGCAAGCACATCCAAACCTGCGCATGTGCATCCGCACACACATTTCTGCACACATGTGTGCACGCACAGACAACGAACACCCCTGTGCATGCACATCCTTGCACACAGCCCTGCACACACGTGTGCACGCCCACCCAAGCCTGTGCATGCACCTCCCCG